CTTCCGATACAATATTTGGCACTTCCATCTCACTCTCTCGTCGATTTCTCTTCTCAGGCGATGCCTGTTCCAAAGTTTTCCTTTTCAAAAGCTTCTTATCTTTTGTAGAAGGTTCTGTTTCACTTTCAGTAGTGCTGGAAATCTCTTTACAGTCCAAGGAAGACATGTCTAATCTTTCAGGCTCTGGAAGAGATTCATTTGCCACCTCTTCCTGGCTTCCTGGTGAAATCTTTGCATTCTCTAAACAGGAATCTTTTGTCTTGCTCCTTCTCCCTTTTCCTTTAGGTGATTTTTCAGCCTCTCTTTTGAGTTCTTCTATTTGTTCTGTTTTATTTCCGAAAATCTGAACAATTTGCTCACTTTCTTCAACTTCCAGTTTCAGTGTTTCTAACGGCTGTACTTGAGTCCTGTCATTTTCTTTCAATGCATAAGGAATCTTTGGGTTTTCTTCATCTAGTTTCTCATCATGTAGTTTTTCACTTTTTTCCAGTTCTGAAGTTTCTGGAGAAAATTCTTCATTCAAATTCTTTTCAGATGATTCATCTGCTTCACTGTCAGATGAGCCAGAGTCTGCAAAAAATTTTTAAAAAGAAGGAAACAGCACCCTGAATCATCAATTTCAGCACAATTTCTTTTCTCAACCACACAAACACTTTTGCCAGTAATCTATGGTATTAGCATCAGTTTACAACAAACAATTTCAAACTTAAAAATTCTGCGTTATTCAACACACTTATTACAGTTCTTATTTTTACTCAAAACTCTTATGAAACTATAATAGTAGTAGAACTTCTACTACTATTAATAAAATAATACTACCCAAATAAGCCAATATAAATGAATTACAGTTTATAGTAGCAAAAATACTTTTACAGATTCCCATGATCTACCTGGGGATAATGCCTCCTCCACCTGACATTGCAAAACCAGAAACCAAGCCTCCTCCCCTCCATGCACCCCCAAACAGAAAAAAAAACCCCTTCCACACCACAATACGGACGTTTCATTGCTAAACTATTGCACGAATCACGCACCATATACAGAACAAGCATTGTTGTGTTACCAGAAGATTATTCAGGGACCTGTACTAAAAGGAGACAGTGATTTCACTTCGGTTCTTGTTCACAGAGGCTTAGAAATAACAAAAATATTGCTGTCATTTGTATATAATTAACAGCTCTGCTGGATGATGTAGTACTGAGGTTGAGGACTTAATTACCACAATAAAGTCTATCATTATAGACTAGATTTGGTCTGTTCAAGATTAAGACTGAAAGGCTCTGGCTAAAGAATATGGAATGACTTGCACAGTCATTTCCATGCCATAGCTCTTCTGTGAGCAAACTGTGCTGCTCCTCAGCAGTGTCAGCTCAACTACTTCCTCAATAAAATTCACGGAGAGAGGGGGGGGACTGGAAAAAAAAAAAGTAAAAAATAAAAATCAAACCTCTTTTGAAAAAAACCTTCAGAAGCATACACAGGACTGAGATCACTCACTGTTTGATCCTCTATCGGAATCAAACATTCCTGAGCTACATCTCATCTGCCTGCGAGGTGTTGCTAAAATCAAAAGTATTAATTTTTATAGAGTAAAATCTGTGCCAAAAATTTGTTTTGTTACATTGCTTGAACACTGACTGGTTAAGTAGGACTTTAAAGCTGCTGACAGCACTGTGTTCGCTGAAGTTGTCATATTAATGCACCGCATTACATCACTGTTTACATGCACTGCCATGCCAGAACACGAGTGCACCAGATGTACCTTCTGTTCCATTTGGTAATGGTGAGGAATCTGACAAGTTGTTCCGTGCACTTCTGGCTCCTGATTTACCTTCACTATTAGGTGTTTTGGATAAACTGCAAGCTGTGTTTGATGGAAGAGTAGATTTCAGAGGTGGTCGCCCACGCTTTGATTTTTGTTTCTCCTCATCCTTCTTCTCATCCTTTTCACTGTCGTCTTTATTCTGACGGGGGAAAAAAAGAATTTTTATTAATGTTTTACTGCTGATCGTCAAACTTTTTCTCCTTTTGCTCTACACTTCTGTTAAAAAACTAGACTGTGGACTGAATGACTTTAAAAAAAAAAAAAGGAACAGTGATAGTAAGTATTGTACCACAAGAAACTTATTGAAATAACCATTACTTTTGTTTTTTTCTTCTGTTTTCTCTTTGGTCCTCCTTTGTCCACAGGCCAGATAATCCGATCAGCTTTGACCCATTCATCATATCTAAAAGTAAATAACAGCATACTGTTATTACTGTATATAAAGAAGTTGTTTGCAATACGAGGCCTAAAAGACTGAATTACAGAAAATATTAAGGAGAGGTAGGAAAGCAGAGCATATATTTACAAACACATGCAGTATCTGGCATTAGAAGGATGAATTACATTTTTAACCCATTAAAAAAATTTATGGGATGGGGGAATGGAGGTGAAAACTTCCCTGTCTCTTACTAGCAAAGCACTGGAAGTCAGGAGACTCCGTCAGCTATAAAGTTTGTCAATTATTTCACACAATATACAGAAGTCAGTTTTCACCACACCATGTGCCAACAGTAAAACAGACCTTTTTTTACCTTTTTTTTTTTTTTTTTTTAAAAAGGAGAAGTTTTTAAAATTATAGCAACAGACTCTATGAGATTCTGAAAAGCACAGATATACTAGTGGTCCTCAAAATCTCCTCCGTTATTAATAGGATAAAGGGACACATGTAAGTATTTGGGATACCTCCAACACACATAAACTTAATGTAGCCACATAAAGAAATTTGCTTAGTTTACTTAGAAAAATATGGATTTGGCACATCTCAAGTTATATACCAGAAGTGTGGTATTTTAAAAAATTATCATTTTGGTGATATTTTTGCTTAGATAATCACAATGCTCTTAACGACAACAAAAAAAGCCACTTCTACAGCAGTACTGAATATAAAGCATGGCTACCAAGAGAAGCATTTGATTAATTTTTTTCTGTAGTTCTTTGTGGCTTAGCCCTCTCCTACCCTCTCTACATGTAACAACCATTCGTTATAATCACAGTTAACACTGAATACAAGAATAAATTTTGTTGCCAAAATTTCAGTGCTTGATACTCTTAATTGTAGATGTCTTCACCGTTATCAATAACTCCCTTTAAATAGCAGTCTGATGCTGCTAACACTAGCTGACACAATAAATTACAGGGATACTCCCGTGAGGAGTGAGGATTACTCACTTGAAGCAGGATGGAAACTTGGAAACATACAAGTTAAGTATATTCTGAGATTTCAGTGCAATAGTGTCATACCATGAACAAAACAACTGAGATGAAAAATGTAATAGAGTCAGATCCTGTTATCACGCTGATAATTCAATTCAGAGCCAAGTCACTATCTTTCTCTTTTTTTCTTAAAAACAAAAATTCTTTTGCAAATAATCCTTTTAACAAACAAAGAAATGAAAGGCAATTTGTTCTCCTCACCTTACATTCCAACCATAGTAATGAACTAAATATAAAACCTCTCCATCATCAATTTCTGTGCTTTTAATACTGGCTTCATAAATTTTCTGAGTCTTTCCACGTCCATATTTTACTTTCACTTTGGTTCCAGTCAGGCAGGGTTCTGCATCCTCCTCATCCTCTTCACCTTCCGATTCTCCTTTGTTCTCAATTTCCTCCCTGCAGTAAAGCGTATTTGAAATGCCCACTAATTAATGACAATCAAAGTTTTAACATTTAACTACTGTAGCCAAGCTACTACAAAAGAAAAAGGCTGCAACAAAAATTTTTCTCATTTTCTGCATCCTGCACTGCCTCCGAAACTAGCTTGGACACAGCTTTTTAAGTCAAAAACAGGACTTAGAGAGAATAGGGGTAAGTGCCAAAAATATCCAGAAAAAATATATTATATTCTAAACACAATTTATTAGGTGTACAACTACCTCAAAGCTTAAAGACTTTTTTTTTAAATGAACATTTGGGTAATACAAAAAGAAGAGTAAGTTAACTCAATGTTTGGCTCCTAAATAAGACAGGAAAGACTAACTTCAGTTTTTAAAATATACTTGATTTTGACAAACTATGTTAAAAAAAAAAATTCTGTCTTCTACAGTTTGCTCAATAGGCTAGAGTTTACTACCAGCGCATAGTAAGTCTGAATTGCCATCACAGTGATCCTCTCATGCATACAAACACCACTCCATTGAAAAAGAAGTTGACTACAACAGTGTTTAACCAAGATTAGAAGTGTCTACACAGCTCTTATTAGCTATATTTACCTCTTATTAGCTATACCTAATATTTAAACATTCTACTTAAACATATTTTCAAGACTTACAATCTAACCTATTTTTACCTATACTTCTCCTTTCCCTATTTTTAGGGTGAATTTAGCATAATGTAAAAGTTAAACTACAAAAAGTCACCAAGAAAGAAAATACTGAAAAAGACTATGGGTTTGCTTTTAATGAAATGTATTTGCTAGCCTTCAGTGAAAGATGAACTATCTTGTTGTGGCAAACAATTAAAAGAAACAGGACAAGCACCATCCACACCATTTAAAGAAAACTCTTCGATGCCTCAGTCATCGGACATACCTCTGCAACCTGCTGCACATCCACACTGTACCTTCATTTGAGGCATTTCTGCATGCTATGGTGCACTGCAAGATTGGTTTTTTTGGACTGCCCAGTGACACTTTCTTGAAAATAACTGTGTATTGTTCCCACTCCTCAAAGCTCTTTAGATGAAAATATGCAAATACAGTCAGGCTTTATTCCGTATCAACTTGTGCCCACACCACTTAGCCACATGGACAAGAAAAACAAGGTAGGAAAGATAGCTTAAACAGGTAAGACACTGCCCTTGACCACAGCCAAAGTTAGCTAAGAAGAGGTCTACTCTGGTAATATATTAGTCACCTGCTCACAACTCGTTTGTAACCAGGACTATAAATCCAATTCAACTTGTCAAGCTTAGTCTCTGGATGCTCTTTTCCCTTTGCCCTTCCATGTCTCCATCCTTTCCTCTTCAACCTACCTCTAGGTTTCATTCAAACTCCCTCTTTCCTTCTCCTTTGCTTTATTAGCTGATCCCCTTCCTGCCTGCCTACAGTACATCAAGTAACAATAAAAAAAGGCAAGCTGTAGGTTCGCCAACCGTCATCAAACACTTAAGCAAAAGCACGGGAGAAGAAGGGCTCTCTTTTCCATTTCTATTTCAACTGCCCAGAACAGTCTGTCCAAACAGTTGCTCACCATCCATACAGCACCTGACATACTTATAGCCTGGTCTGCTTGGTGTTTGTACGTACTAGTGTGATAAAACACCCACACAACCTTGGCAAGACCTTCCAAAAAAATGAAAGTGAAAAATACTGTCTCGCATCTACCAGAAAAAGATGCTTTCATAAAGTACAGTAGACTCTACAAGCTTGAAATAAAATTTTCCCTTTCCTGTCTGGCTGAGTGAATTAAGTCCCTGAATTCCACATTTTAGAAAGTGGCCAGATCTCTAATTCTGTGTATGCTTCTGCTTGGAGTGTGGCTCAATCACGACACAGATATACTCATAAGAAAGTGATACAAGTTAACGTTTCCCTCTCCC